GGCTGACAAACCCAAAGGGGGGGGGGAGGAAAACAAGAAGAAAATACAACAAACAAGGAACAAAGAGAATTTAAAAAGACAGTCAACAGCCACACGATTCAAGCGGGGAAGGTAACTCGTCAACCCCAGGCCTGCTGGCACAGCCAGGTTTTAACAGCTTTGCGGAAAGCCTGGAGAGAGGTGAGGGTCCGAATCTCTACGGGGAGTTTGTTCCAAAGGGCCAGAGCAGCCTTTGGGAGGTAATTGGCAGCAGGCGGTCTCTCAAGTACCCAGGTCCAATACCATGAAGGGCTTTATAAGTGACAACTAGCACCTTGAAGCGTATCTGGAGACCAATCAGTAACCAGTGCAGCTCGCGGAGGATAGGTGTAACGTGGGTGTACCGAGGTGCACCCACAATCGCTCGCGCGGCTGCATTCTGGACGAGCTGGAGTCTCCGAATGCGTTTTGTGTTTGTATTAACAAACATCTCCAGTGGGATTTGGTAACTTGACTCCCTGGTTGATAATTGCTATATGAATCAGCAATCTGATTTTAGATAGTTTTGTGATAATTCTTTAATCAAATTGAATGATTGGTCCTTTCCCCCTTAAAGAAGATAAAATGGCTCAGTAATTTTCCCCATTTTTATGTTTTGAGGCATTGGTAAACTGTTTCCCCTTTTCTCTTTTTTCCAGCTCAGTGGCAACAACAGTCCCAAACCACTAAGCCAAAGAAGGTGCGTCCTTCAGCCAGTCGGTATGCAGCACTTTCTGACCAAGGACTAGATATCAAAGCTGCATTTCAGCCAGAAGCAAACCCAGGACATCTGACATCTGGATTGGTAGAAAGTGATGATCTTTAAGTATTAACTACCAGATATACCATTTCCTTTTAAAACACTGAATGCCATGGTATGGATCAATGATAATCTACGCCACTGTACGCAAGATAGCCACCTCTATGCGCAAAAGAATCCAGCCACATCTTTCTTGTCCAGTGTAACAAATTAGGAGTTAGTAGAGAGAAATGCAGTCTGCATATACAAATCACCTTCACTAAAACCATTTCTTATTACATTGTAGATAATACTGTTTTGAATCATCCTATTCACAAGTGTTAAATTGAGTGAAATTTTGCAAAAATAAATATGCTGCACACTTATCGCTAAGTGCCTTTGCAGTTTGTAGGTGCTATTAATGCGTAATGAATAGAAGTGCACTAAATATATATATATTAGGAGTGCATTATAATAATAGTTCAGATGTGCAATACTGAATGAGTAAAGCAAGATACAAAAGGGAAGAGAAATAAGTGATGCTTTTGTGTTCAAAATTGACTTTCTAGTCTCAAAGGAAACAGGATATGTAAGTTTTACCTTAATTGTATTAGGGCAGGTAAAGTAACCTTATATCAGAAGGCTTTGACTTTTGCCTGTGATGCCTATAATATGATGCTTAGATTCATGTTACTTTTATAACAGTGAGATAAGAGAAAAGGCAAAAGTGGAACCTTTCTTAAAAATGATATGTGAGCAAAACCTCAGTGCTTTTTAAAACAATATTGGAGATCTGATTGAGTAGAATATGTGATAGAAAGGAAGATAAGTAGGAGTATAGAGTAAGTGGAAAATGGGTTGAGTTTGCAATAAGGGTTTAAATAATTTGCATACCATAGAGAATAGATAAGGAAATGTTGGGGAATACAAGGAAATGTTACATTTTAAACACCGCTTGCATGTATACTAGAGGTTACAATTTTGCTGTTCTTGATTACTGCTGTATGAATAGGAACCCTGCCTATGGCTGAGAACTTGTGAAGAACTGAAAATAGTTAACTGGCCAAAAAACTAGTTGTTTTTTTTCCAGTTAATGGATTTCACTTAGATTATATTAAGCAATTTTGATTCAAAATGAACTCAGTTGATAGGGAGTAGAAGGCTATTTCAGTTAGATCTGAAATGTTGTCCGATGGTACAATAATACTCTGTTACAAAAGGAAAACACTGTATTCCTTATATGAAGCAAGTTTATTTATAATGAAAAATCTGAATGCTTTTCTCAGTTATTCAAATACATACTTTTCGTAAAAATAGGGGGGGGGGGTTGTAATATGCCGTGCCATTTATTTTGCATTAACTGCTATTCCTGTATTGCTTTTGCCCTTTGTTATTAAGTACACTATTCAGATTTATAGTGACTAATAAAAACTTTATTACAAAAGAAAATTACTTTTCTATGGAAGCTTGTTCAGATGGTAACAATTCAACAATAGGAATTTGGCTTATATGTGTTGTCATACATGACTGTCCTAATGCTCTGGATCTAGACAATTTAATCCTCGCCCAATTGTCAATGTGACTTGCTTAGCTTAATTACTATTTTTTTAGCTTAACTAGTGACAATTTGCTTCTTCTTTTTTTGTATTTATAAATCTGTACAAGCATACTATTTTGGATTATTGAGCTAGCATCATAAGGATTTGATATCAATAAATATTACACAAATTTCAGGAAAAAATGTATTTTCTTGCTAATAATTCTTAATGAGACTACAAAGAATAAAACAGCCTATTAGAGGGTTGTTTCATATAAAATGGTGAGGTTTACTTCTAAGTTGTAGTTTAAGATCGTACTGCAGATAGTCCTTGCTTAATGACCACGTTGGGACCAACAACTCAATTTTTAAGTGAAGCACTCATTCAGCGAAACATCATTATTTTATTATTTTATTTCAGTTTTCTTTTGTTTCACAAAACTGCAAAAATAGTAAATGTGAAGAGAGCTTATAACGTTATTTTTAAAATCATCGTCATAACTGCAAGTAACCACTGAGCGATCAGTCTCTAAACAAAGACTACCTTTATATACTTCTTAATTCTGTTGAAGATAATTTCTTCTGATGTTTCCTTTAATAAGTTATAATAACAAGTGGGAGTTCCAATTTAAAAATGCATGCAATTTTTGCCTTATTCTTTATGTTTATGACCCTTGTGTTCTGACCCAGCTTTCGCAGAAGCAAAAAAGCAGGCTGCCCACAAAGAAAAACCCCTCTTTATTGACACACCGGGAATTAACTGCATTTACCAACAGAAAGTCCAGGCAAGAGTCCTGCAAGAAATTAACTGAAACAATAGTCCTTATGAGCTTGTTATGAGAAATGCAAGGATATAAACTCCCAGCTGAGAGAAATAGACAAACTTCACTTCTGGCAAGGCTGCCTTTGTCGCACGAAACACACAAGGAGCAAACTTTCCAGAAATGCCAACGGTTGTCTGTGACAACCAAATCACTCCCTTTTCCTCCTATTTATTACCCAGTCAGGGAGGGGCCAGTCAGCGTCCACGTTTGTTTTGCTTTCCGAGTTGGTTCATTGTTCGCCTCACCTATCTGCTCTGTGCATACGCGCATCTAGAACAGGCCCCAGCTGTTTCTTCTCCTTGCTCATCTCTGACTCCAAAGGCAGCTGCCTCTCTGGCTGGGAAATGCCAGACAGCCCAAGCTCTATCTCTGTGTCCAATGCTGAGCATCCACACGAGCCTTCCCCAGGCTCCAGAACTGACACAAATTCTTCCCCAATCTTCTCATCGTCCAAGTCTGCAGAAGCTCCACTGGCTGCTGGTGGGCCACAACCCGTAGCAGCAGCCCCATGTCATTTGGATTAGAGGTAGTGAACCAGTAGTGGCATTTTTGCCTGGGTTGCAGAACCGGCAGCAACCCAGGCTTGCCACGCCCCCGAACCGGTTCCCTCACTGCCGCTGATGTTTCCACCATGTTGTTTTATAGTGACCGCGAGCGTGCAGTTCACTGTAAATTGTTCTGCGCAGGCGCAAAGAACAATATACATTGAACTGTGCACACATGCAAGCAAAGCGAGAGCATGCACACAAAACATGCACGAAACAAACCGGTAGTAAAACCGGCAGCAACCCACCCGATTTGGATGTTTGACAACTGACTCACATAACAACTGCAGGTTCTTGTGATCCCATTTTGTGACCTGACAAGCAAAGTCAATGGGGAAACCAGATTCACTTAACAAGTGTGTTATTAAGAACTGCAATGATTCACTTAACAAACTTTAAGAAAAGTTATAAAATGGGTCAAAACTCAACAAATTTCTCACTTAGAGACATGGACTAAGGCTAGGAAGGAATTGCTCTTTCAAATTCATCTTGAGGAAGAAAGGTGCGTCTTATACTCCGAAAAATATGGTATGCCTATTTTTTGCTATCCTTTTTTCTGTCTACGTGCTCATTTTTGTACCTTGTTATTTATGTAACTTGCTTACTATTATATTCTTTTTATTTACCCTTTTCTTCTTTATCCTTTTTAAAAAAAAATTGAGGTCCAATTCCTTCCTACCTCGTTATTTAAAATTTGCGTTATTGATTTATTTTTATTAATACTATTCTTTGATTTTTAATGTTCCATTCTTGTCATTATTTGCCTATTTATTTGACTATTTCTATGCCCTGTGTTTATTTTTATTCTGTACTGGGTCTTCCCTCTTTTCCTATTGGGACCTCAAGTTTAATTGTTGCCTTCACTTGCATTATTTGCTACTCCAACCTCTTGTTTTCTCTGCCAGCTCTGTTCTGTCTGGTGCTCAGGTCTTTTCAGCCTCATCTCTGCTCTGGTCAGCTGTCTCGGCCTCCTGTTCAGCTTTCTGGTTGGCTCAGTTCCATCTGATCTGCTCCATTTAGCCCACCACTCAACTTTAGAGATCTAAATCAATGCGCCTCTGCTGCTGTATTGTCTGTCTCTGCTGCTACGATTTCCCTTCCATGGATTCTACTGTTGCTACGATCACCCCTCCACCTGATTCTGCTGCTGCTGCGTTCCTCTCCTCCACTGATTCTCCCACCACCAATTTCTCACAGCCACTGGTTCCCTTTGTTGGATGGGTTACTCCAGGCCCTTTGTCCTCTGCCAGAAACAAAAACAGCACCACAAAAATCACATTGGGAACACAAATTGAAATGGGGAAGAAAATGGTAAGTGAGCACCTGTCTACCCTAGACGAGTTCAAATCACCAGGACCGGACGGATTACCCCCCAGGGGTCTGAAGGAACTGGCAGACGAGATCTCCGAACAACTGAACTATATCTTTCAGAGATCCTGGAGCACCAGGGAACTGCCAGAGGACTGGAAAAGAACTGGTGTGGTTCCCATCTTCAAAAAAAGAAAAAAAAATAGATCCAGGAAACAA